TTTTAATGTCTATTATTATTCTGAAAAGTTCCAGTGGAAATCACAAATACAGAAATTGAACTAAGTAACCCATTGGTTTTGAAGTTCTGAGTCAAATGGCTTCCAAATAACATCCATTCTAAAATATATTCTTTTTACCATTATTCATGTTGTTAAACTGGCAGTTTCTTTAAGGCTTCTGTTTTTCAGATATCAAGAAGTAACAGATAACAAAAAAGTCAAAGCAGATTTGACTTGTACATGCTTATCTACCTGTAGATAGACATCCAGTCGCTTCTGAGTGAGATTCATGGTTTGTAGCAGTTTTTCATCTTGACTAGTTGACTGCACATTCTGTTGCTTAGCAACTGCCCTTATCTCCTTCAAGTATTTCTCTCTAACAGACTGGAACCAGTGAAGTGAGTCAAACTCCTGGTACTGATCCAAAAGCTTTAGAATGTAAGCCACACCTACAGTTATTAGCAAAACTAAAGTTAAATTACAATGAGTACAAAAGTTGTATTCTATTCCTTCACCAATACCTCCTAGGACTAAGCTAACCATTTTAAATTAGCCCTCTTTCAAATTACATTTTATGGCATAAACGAATGATAGGTTTAGCAAGATGCCTTAATTTCTCCTTTAAAAAATGTATAAAAAACTAAAGACAAACCAATTAAGAAGAAAATAAATAAATAATATGGCCATATAAATCACCTGGAGAATCATATGGCTGTAAGAGTAAAGAATAAAAACTTCCACTGCTAAATAGATAGCAACTGAAGAAGCTACAAGGAAACCAGGGAAACTAAATATAAGATGCTAACACTGTAAAACCACAATCTAAATATTAGGTCAAACTAGACAGGTGATCAACAATATCAAGAAGGCATTAAGTGACAGTTATAAATGATGGAAAACAAATATTGTCAACCACATGGCCCAGTGGAAAAAAACCAGTAAATGCTACTCACAAAAAACAAATCTATAAAGAGCATATGGATCTATTACCAAGCAAATGTTTCTAAGAATCCTTTATAAGGTGAACATAAAATTAATGGAAAAACAATTCCATCAGGCTTACCCATGGCAAAGCCATCATCAGTAAAGGCAGCTCCAATTTTATTTTTTTTGTTCAATTTCTCCTTGCAACTAATGGAATGCTCTACAAAATTGAGGGTCTAAAAAGATATAACAAGATATTATAGGAACAATTGTACTAAGAAATGTAGTCCCTAAAACAGACATTTCAAAAATTATAAATAGAATTTCTTCTAGGTTCTTGTCCTTTTGATCTGAAACATTTGCCTCAAATACTTTCTTGGTGAAGAAACAATCTGCACAATTATCTCTTGATGGCTCTTCTCTCCAAGTCCTTTAAATATTGGCACTAACATGAGCACAGTGCCTTGTATATGGTTCATTATTAAATATTACGTGCATTTTAGAGACGAGGACACTGAGGCTTGGAAGATTTAGTACCTTACCCAAAGTCATATACTCAGTGAATGCTGGAGTCAGAAAACTGGGCCAGCTTTACTTCAAAGCACAAGCACTCTTAAACACATGCAAGACAGTCCTTACATCCACCCTCTCAATTCATTCTAATATCTTTTAGACATGTGTTAGAAAAAACTTCCTATTGTAACAGCTAAAGTTAGTCTACATTAAGCACTTAAAATGATTATATAATTCCATCCCAAAGAGTCTATGGTATACATGCAATGGCATACAGTCAAGCAATTTAAAGAACACTAGGATTTCTCTGTCAGCTATTATTTACTAACAAATAACTATCTTAACTATAAATGGAGTCTCCTTCAGCATAAGTAAAAATTCTAAGTAACATTCACTGAGATTACATTAAATTTTATCTGCAATCAGAAAGCCAGTAATGTAGTCTGTGTGCATTTCATGCTACAAAGAAACCAGACTTATCAATACTTTTTTTAAAAAAACTCATTTTAGGTTCTGAAAATACTCACCAGAGGGGGAACAATGATATAGAAATTTCGGAGATGTATATTCTTTGGCCTTCGAAATTCCGGAGCAAAAACATCTACAAGCATTTTGAAATATTCTGTACCTTCAGCAGAATTTCGTGTGTGATCACTGAGGACTGAATCCAAATGCCTAAAAAGCAAAAAATTATTTACTTGGTTCCTTTCTCAAAAGAAGGTGTGGCTTTTTAAAAATACATCTCTTATTAGGTAAGATAAGAGAACCCAAAAGGTGGAAAACATTATAAGATATTTCTAAGTAAATTTTCTTGGAGTTCAGAATAAATTCATTTTCTTATGAACAGAAACTGATCGATATTAATTTAGTCCATAAAATATAATATGTAGAGCATCTTGGGGCTTAAAATAATATAGTTCTATATTTCTTCTTCCCACAATGCTACCTGTAGAACCCCATTTCATTGTAAATAAATTCCTCTTCATCTTAAATCTCTTCACTAATGTTTCTCCTACATCTCACCTCAACTTAAATCTGGCTCTCTTTCAAGAACTTAGCTCTTCCCTTTCAACTTTTGGCAACATTAGATGCTTTTTCTCCTACATCCTCATGTATAGCTACTACCATTTTCAAATTATCATCCCTCCACCACTGGAGGGTAGAAATCTCTCATTTATGATTCACATGATACCAAGATACCCAACTACCTCTTCCTGGAAGCAGAAACCTACTAACCTTTTAAACACTGCCTTAGGATAAGGATGCCTGCTCCATTTCTCCAATGTCTACATGGATAATCTATTCATTATCATCACAACTCCTTGACTTCACGTAACATGACCTACCTTTCCTTCACTTAATGTCAACCAACCACTCCTTTGCACAAATCTGGGCCGTGCAATTAGCAGTCAGCTTTAACCTAGAGATTTAAAAAGACAATATCCCTCTCTCACTTCCTCAACTGCTTCAAAATACATTTTAAATGGTCACCAATTTTAGAGTGAATGATAAGAGAAAAAAGGTCCAATTTCTTCCTCTGATATACAAGCTACAATCTATTTTAACCATTTTCAGGCACATGACTTATTAACCCTGCACATGGCTTCTATAATCTGGCAAAGAACCAAACTATCTAAAAGAATATTCTAGAGCAAAGCTTCTGTGTTAGGGACTTACTCTCATAAAAATGCACATACACGTTTTCCAGTATATTTTTAAAAATTTCAAGCTTATCAGAAAGTTAAAATATAGTATAATGAACACCTGTATACCCTTAAAGTAGATTCACCACTTGTTAACGTTTTGGCACAATTGTTTTCTCTATTTTTCTAGAACATCTGAAAGTTGCAGATCTCATGTCATTTAGGCCATAAATGCTTTAGCATGAATCTATTAAGAACTAAGATATTTTCCTATGAAGTCACAATACAATAATATCTAATATATAATCCATGTTCAAATCTCCCCATTTATTCCCCAAATGTCCTTTATAGTTATTTTTTTCCTTATCTAGGATATGATTAGGCATGACCCATTACATTTGGTTATTATCTCTTTATTCTCCTAATCTACAACAGTCTCCATGCCTTCTTTTCCACAAAATTTGACATTTTTTAAGAGTCTAGGCCAGGTGTTTCATAGAATGTCCCACATTCTGACTGGCATATAAATATTACATTTAATCTTCTCTTTAATGTTTTACATAAACACATATTTAAATCTCCAAATTTAGATTATTCTAAAATTAGATTACCTTGCTGCTTTTAATGTTTCTTCTGCAAGACCTTCTTCTTTTACTAGTTCTTCAAAATTTACAATATCTTCAAGATCAGGCACAAATCTACATAAGAATGTGGGAAGGAATTTATTTGGGCAAGTAAAATATGTACATTGACGCAAATGTGTAAGTAGTACTGCAGGACTTTAAAATTTTCAACTATGTATTTGGAAAGAACTTTGCATCTCAGTAGTATTATTCATATCCCCACTTTAGTTTCAAATTGAATTATCAAATAAATTTTTAATCCTTAAAATCATGTCATGTTTACATTCATTCATAAACCATAACCTTAAGAGAAATAAATATTTTCAAAAGTCTGTAGTCTTAAAAATTTAAAGAGAAAAAAAAATCTAACTAGTAGAATAGTCTCCACATTTTATCTCAAATTATCAAGAATAAATACCTTCTCTATAATATCACTTATAGATTTAAATGACATAATTTTTAAACGGCATAAACAAGACAAAAATGATGTTTGCATACATACCTAATGGCATTGCTGCTACAATGAAGACCACCAGATCTTATCATTCGTACATAGCCCATAGCATTACCTTAAAAACCACACAAAAAAATCATTTATATAAATAACTGTAAACTATAATAATTAGGAATACAGTTATAAATAGTCAATTACAAAGTTTCTACTTTGTAGAATTACAATTACAAAGTTTCTACTAAGTACCAAAATATTCTGCTATATTTTACTTCAGTTCTTGTTCCATACAAAGTAAAACTATTACTTTGTATACTTGTTCCATACAAAGTAAAACTATTTCTGCACTTAAAACATAAATGTAGGCCAGGCGCGGTGGCTCACGCCTGTAATCCTAGCTCTCTGGGAGGCCGAGG